TTCTATGGTAGAGGAGTAAGGAAAGACAAGTCCCCTCTGGGGGAATATGAGAAGTCAGTTCCAAAGAAGCAAGTACAAAAGAAATGATATTAGTTTGTTGTTCTGTCATGGTTGAATTGTTACCTATTACCTTGTAGAATCTCCCAGAAGCAGCCTAAGGACCTCATGTAACTTTGTATTTCCAGTATTGCCTAACTCACTGTAGGCAGAATGAAAGAAGAAATAGACCTAACTTTTGTTCATCTTTATAATGGCCTAGAACTTCCCTATTATCCCCTTTCTATACAAGAGGAAATCCTTGAAAAGTATTTGTAAAAACATTCTGTCATATTCTAATATTAACTTTCTAATATGGTTGCTCTTTGGTGGTATTATTTAATCACTCCCTGAGAGAGAGAGAGAGAGAGAGAGAGAGAGAGAGGAGAGGGAGACAGAGAGAGGGAGAGGGAGAGGGAGAACAGAGGGAGGAGAGAAACAGATCAGAATCTCAATTGCAGCAACTATAATTCCTTTGGGCAAAGAAAATAACACTACATTTTTTCAAAACCTTCTCATTCTTTGTGAAGGCTCATCAATTCAAGTTGGAGTTCAGTATGCAATTTACATTATAGCTTTGCTTTCCAGTATCCTAGTCTTTTGAGGCTTATACTGAGTCATGTTTTTATGCTCTTTAAACCAGGCATAGTGGTGTGCCCTGTAATCCCAGGACTTGAGAGTATTGAGGCAAGAAGATCACAAATTCCATGCCAGCCTGTGCAATACAGCAATGCCCTGTCTCAAAAAAAAATGTCCATGGAAATGGAGCTGTGCTCAAGAGGACTAGCCTTGAAAACATTAGTACTGGGACAGAACCTAGGCCCCAGGACCAGCAAAGGAAGAAAGAAAAGGAAAGGAAAGGAAAGGAAGGAAAGGAGAAAAGAAAAGAGAAGGAAGGAAGGAGAGAAAGAGAGAGGAGGAAAGGAAGGAAGGAAGGAAGGAAGGAAGGAAGGAAGGAAGGAAGGAGAGAGAGACAGAGAGAGAGAGACAGAGAGATAGAGAGAGACAGAGAGAGACAGAGAGACAGAGAGAGAAAGGAAAAAATAAGAGAAATGCATTCCAGGATGTACACCAAGTTGTGCCGGCAGCATCAGAATTTATTTTCCTTAAGTAGGTTATACCCTCTATTTTTTGTACTTGCTCCCTTTGTATGGAAATTTCCTAGATGATCCCCCAAATTGAAATGTTTGTATTATTGCACAGAGAGGTCAAGATGTTTCAGAAATTATCACATAAACATAGCTCTAGCATGAAATGAATCAAGTGCTACATAGAAGTAATTGAGAAATGACACCTAAAGGAAAAAAATCATAATGTTAATCTCTAAGGAGGGAGATGAAGACAACTGCAATCCCAGAGAGTATCTTTAAAATTCTTCTTATAAATGCCAAATTCTGGGCCAGGTATGTAAGTACACACTGGTATTCCAGTTATCCAGGAGGTAAAAATTGGGAGGATCACAGTTCAAGTCTAACCCAGGATAAAAGTTAGTGAGACCTCATCTCAACAAACAAGTTGGACATGGTGGTTTTCCTCTCTATTGTCAGCTATGTAAGAGACATGTGGAGGAATTTCCCAGAGGCCAGCAAAATAGGCTAGGGGAATAGCTGAAGTGGCAAATGCCTGCATAAGGCCCTGAGTTCATACCTAAGTATCATTTGTTAAAAAGAAAGAAGAAGAACAAGGAGGAAGAGAAGGAGGAGGAGGAAGAGAAGGAGGAGGAGGAGGAGGAGAGGGAGGAAAAGAAGAAGAAGAAGAAGAAGAAGAAGAAGAAGAAGAAGAAGAAGAAGAAGAAGAAGAAGAAGAAGAAGAAGAAGAAGAAGAAGAAGAAGAAGAAG